TTGCGAACCCCATGTCCGTTTTCTGACTTATCGTCACCTGAGGATCGTGGTGTAATCACCAATGACCTCGATGAGGCACAGAAGCGGCAGCTGGAAGCTGCCTGTAAGGCGGCTCTAAAGCGCGCCCGTCCACGGCCGGTCATTGACCCTCGTGTGGAGTATGGCTTCCGCCCAGCGGACCCCTCTGTGAAAGCGAAGGACGCGGTAACTCGATTTTTACGCGTCTACATCATCAGGCCACCGGCCAGAACGGAAGATGAGCTTGCCGAATGAAAGCTCTTCGAGCTTGTTTCTTTATTCCACAAGAAGTTTTGCTGGAAGCTTATCGTACTCGTCTGTGTGCTCAAAGAGGTGGCTTCGTGTACGATGCGGACGATACCTGTAGTGCTCGCCCCTGGTGAAAGCGCTACAGATGACGAAGTGCTCTTTGAGCGATGGGTGCAACGGCACCGGACGCTTTCCTCACGGTATAACTTACAGTTGAGCCACAAGAAAGTGGACGTGCGTATGAAGCGACACACCAATTTGAGTTTGCAGAACTCAAAGCACGCCGTCGACGCCCTTCAGATTGTCGCCCTGCGACGTATGGGTCAACCACTAACGCTCCCGCGATCTCTGTGGCTGCGACCGCAAGAGCTCAGGGCCACCGCTTGAGTTCAGCTCATGACTCTTTCAATTCCCTGGTTATTGTCGGAAAGCGCGGGGCGTCCTGATCTTTCTGATCAAAAGCGTTCACGGCGTCTGGGGAATCTTGCCGAAGTGGCGTCTCAAACTCCCACGAGTTTTCGGAGTCGGGATATCTCCGCCACTTCACCAGATATTGAGTCTGACCCTGGTGACGACGTCGTCTCATTAGACGTTTCACGTGATAGTGGACGTCACCGTTCGGTGACGACCGGGTCGACCGCTCTTCGAGCCCTTGAGGATGGGATCCTTCGTAATAGGAGCTCCGCTAAGCGTCATGCTGGAGCAGCATATTGCTATGCGGACGCTCTTGATGATTTGAAGCACGTCGTGCGCCGGCTGCCTCGCCTTGAGGAAACCGCGCTCTGTCGGAGATACTCCTAGCCGTTGAGCAGGCGAATGCGTCGCTGCAGGCAACGGTGGGGCGCTTGGCTCCCTTGAAGATGGAGGTTGTTGCACTCCATGCTCAGAACCAGTTGCTGCTGCAAATCCTGGGTGGCCGAGGGCCCGTGGGATCCGCTCTGGCGCCAATGCTTCATAGATCACCTGCACCGGATCCCAATACGGCTTGAGCAAACCAACGTAAACACCGGGTGGGCGCGCATCCGTTTGAAAAGGTTTAGCGTATACGCGAGGCCTCGCTTGGCCTCAACCTTAAACGGTGCAATAAACCGTGGACGAAGCTTCGCTTCCTCCGGAAGATAGCAGAGGATGCATGTGTAGGAAGGTTTTTAGAATTTAATAAAAACAGGTCTCCGACCTTAAAGCTTTCCACTTTCCACTTTGCCTCTTCCTTTTTCATCTGCATATTCTTTCTGCAGGTCTTGGCTTTCAGCCATTGCATCGCGATCGTGTCGTAGGACACTCATTCTGGTAGACAAGAAGTCATCGACTTCTTTACGGATGGTGAGGGGGCTGACATCAGCTAGCCGTTCGGCTATTCCTCCGCCACCAAGGCCTGAGCCATGGGATGGCGGCGTCAGTGGGTCGCGAGGGTGAATCAGCCCGTTCAGGTAGAACAGCGTGTAGCCGGTAGACGACTTTACTGTATTGTTCAGTGCAAACTCTACGAGAGGCAACATGGCGCGCTAGCCTCGGCGTCTCAGCACAGACGCTGCAAAGAACGTCTTTGATGACGCGATTCACCCTTTCGGGTTGACAATCTGTCTGCGGATGATCCGCTGTCGACATATCCAGCTTGGTGCCGAGCTCTTTAAAGATAGTCGACCAAAACTATCCCGTGAAACGGGGGTCTCTATCAGGGACAATCGACTCTGGGAGTCCGTGTTGACAGAAAACACGACCCACGAACAGCGTTGCTGTACCGACTCCGTCGATGGTGTCTGGCACCGCCGCTAAATGAGCCATCGTGCTCAACCGGTCGACGAATACCACGACACCCGTGTTGCCCGCCAAATCTTTCGGCGGGCCAAACACAATGTCCAAACTCATGGACTGCCAGCACCTAGTGGGTACCGGTAAGCTGACCAGCGGCGCAGCCGCATTTGGAGCGGATTTCACCCGTTGACACGTCTCACACGTGCGCACATAGGTGCTCGTCCATTCGTACAACTTGG